CAACTCCAGTGTCTGCCAGATCTTTCTGGAGGGATCGTGCAGTCAAACGCGGGTTTTGAATTGTTTTTCTCACAATCCTGCGAGCTGTTCTGTCTGACATTTTTCTTGGTCTTCCAGATCTTGCTTTAACTTCCACTGTTCCTGATGACTGCCATTTCTTAATTACATTCCGAACAGAGGATATTGACATCTGAAAACGCTTTGCTATCTTCTTATAGCCTTCTCCAGCTTTGTGAGCGTCAACTATTTTCAGTTTCAGTTTTCTAGACAACTGCTTAGAAGAACCCATGGTGCTGATTGTTGGGGCAAGATCAGATGAGTCTGGGCATTTAAAACCTTTGAGATTGACATCACCTGGTCTTCCCAGACGATGATTGAGAACAATCCATGACACTGGCATGTCTCAGCTTTGCAAAGGGGGCAGTGCATGCTATAAATTGTGCAGGGTGCCCAAACTTTTGCAGACGCCATTTTTTTGGTTTTCTGTTATTTTGAAAGTGTAAATGATGGAAAAAAAAATCTAACTTTTGTTGACATATTATAAGAATGTCTAATCTGTAATTTGATGCCTTTTGGAGATTTTTCCATCTTTCCTTGGCTTCTTTACGCACATTAATACAAATTTTTAGCTGGGGTGCCCAAACTTTCGATCCCCACTGTGTGTGTATATGTATATGTATGTGTGTGTGTGTGTATATATATATATATATATATATATATATATATATATATTTTTTTTTTTTTTTTTTTGGCCATTTGTTGTGGCCAATGGTGGTTTATTACTTTGAGCAATTTTTCTGGCCAATTGTTGCTTATTACTTTGGCCACAACAACTGGCCAACGCAAAAAGCAACAATTCTCCACAACAATTGGTGAAAAAAAAAAGTGAAAAACAATTGGCCACAGCAATTAAAAACAACTGGCCACAATAGGCAAAATACTATTTTTTTAAAAAGGCATCAAAGAGCAGTATACAAGACATGGCCACAAAAACTGGCCAAAGTAGAAAACAATAATTGACCAGAACAGAACAACATAGTATCTCTACTCATTCACGAAAAATGTCAAAAGTAAATAAAAACACACCCCTGAGCTAAATACATCATCAATCACGGTAAACGTTGACCACTGATCCACACAAAAAACCTCCGTCCACTGCTTACCACAACTACTCCTTTTGCTTGATACTCATCAAACGACAGTGCAGCTTTTTATGCTGCTAAGTAAAATAAGGGGTGGGGTCAGCCAATGACATCACTGCCACATCAAATTGGCTATGGTAGATGTATGTGTATAGTGGCAGCATGGTATTAAAGCTCACTATCATTCTACCACATATAAAAGTTAGCATAAAATGGTTAAACTTCTGAAAGCTGGGCAAAATATAAATTAACATGGAAAACAAAAATAGCTTGGCACTGGGTCCCATCCTGTCTTTTTTTTTTTTTTTCTCTCCCAACTCCCTGGCTGGATTCTAGAGTGGATTCAAATGTGCTGGGCTAATGGTAGGAGAATAGATGGGGTACTGGGGGGGGGGGGGGTTAGACATGGCATTCCCCATTGGAGCAAAGGGTGGCCTGAAAGTGTGAGATTCAGCAGCAGATATCAATGGACTCTTGTTTCTTCTTACCTGACTTTTTAGTTTCCTCCATCTTCTGTGGGTGCTAGCTCTTCTTCTTTCTCTTCTTTCCTTGGCTGGACTCTGGAGTAGATTCAAATATGGTGGGCTAATGGTAGGAGAATAGATGGGGTACTTGGGGGGTTAGTCATGTCAGTCCCCATTGGAGAAAGCTGTAGGGTGGTCTGAAAGAGGTGTGAGATACAGCAGCAAATATCACTGGACTCTTGTTTCTTCTTACCTATTTAGTTTCCTCCATCTCATGTCCATCTTCTGTGGGTGCTAGCTCATCTTTCTCTTCTCTCCTTGGCTGGACTCTAGAGTAGATTCAAATATGGTAGGTGAATAGATGGGGTACTGGGGGGATTCAGTCAAACCAGTCCCCATTGGCTGAAGCAGCGGAGCGGGACGCAGTTCAGCTGTAATCCTATGTCACTCCTAATACTAGGCAGGCCTGGGGATGGGCTGCTGGGATATTTGTTTTGAGTGATGTCACTTGAGGCTAATAGACTTCTAATTGGTGTCCTGAGCACCGCCACTGCTGGTAACAGAACTTGGGAAATTTTTTATCCAAAGACAACGTCCAGAAAGTGGGTTCTATCCCTGGTGGGTTCTATGTTTGGTCACTCAATTTTAAGTGAAACTTACTGGACATTTAGGTAGAGTAAAAAATTACCAAAAAATGCTATATAAGTAAAATAAAAAACATTTGGGCTAGAACTCCACTTAAAGCAATTTCATATTAAAACTGTCTAAATAGAAAATCAGGCGATACAGTATATGGAATGCCTATTAGATTCTGATATGTGTCCCACCTGGAGGCTAGGAGGTAAATATTTTAATAAATACATGTGATATCAGATATGTGTTCCTGAGAAAGATTTTAAGCTTTAATAAAAAATTCTGTGTGCTCAACTTGTTTGTCTCCTATTATATAAGCCAAACCCGTTCTCCATAGAGTAGACCTTTCACTGAAGACTTCCAGCTGTCTACATTCTCAGCATCAACTGAACCACCAGGTAAGTATATGCTGGAATATCTTTCTTATATCACTAAATCTATTATAATTGTTAAGGAAAGAATCCTCGGTATTCAGCTTTCAGGTCAATTTTAGATGTCTCCAGTTTTATTTTGATTCTAAATGATGGACTGGTTCCTTATATCATTTTTCTCATACTGGTTTATTTCGAATGTGAAAAATTCAAATTGATTCACAAAATTCAAAACAGAAAATATTAAAATTGGCCCACCTAGAATTACACCGGCTATCGTACGTATTTCACAATCTCAATTGTCAGCTTATTTAAAACATTATGATGCGGATCAGACTAAGTTTTTTTGTGTTCTGAAATACAGAAGTGGTGGCAGACCAAAACCGGATAAAAAAAAGTCCAACACAATTTTAATTGTTGGTAAATAGGTTGCATAAAAACAGATAACATGTTTCGGGGCAACAACACTCCGCCTTCATCAGGGTTCAACAAAGGATAAACCTTGGATGGACACCAATATTGGATGGACTGTTGCTGAGAACATTGTTACTCCAAAAGGAGAGTCTAATACAGGTTCCAATATAAATCTCTGAGGTCACTGTATTCTTTGAGTCCATCGAAGGTTTACTATGTCTAGAGCCCGGATGAATGGGGAGGTGGTGTTCTCCCCAACACATGTTAGATATTTTTTACATGACTTATTCACTAACAATTAAATTTTTCCTTAGACTTATTCATCTGTTGTTGGCCTAATGCTTCTTTCTGTATTTCTATGGTTTGAGCTACTGTTGGGTCTCTTTGGAAGCTGCCTTACCAGAGATATGCTGGAATATCTTTATTATATTATTAATCCAAATATAATTTATAAGGAAAGAATTCTTGGTATTCAGCCTTCAGGTCAATTTTAGATGACTCCTCTGTTTTATTTTTATTCTAAATGATGGACCGGTTCCTTATATAATTTTTTCTCATAATGCTTTATTTTGAATGTGAAAATTCAAATTGATTCAAAACAGAAAATTCTAAAATTGGCACACCTAGAATTATTTAAAAAAAACATATTTTTAAAAGTATATTTTTTTAAATATACTCTTCAGATTTTCTTTAATATATAAAAAAAGTAATTTTAACATTTTTCTATGCATTTTAAAAATGTAGATTTGTATTTTTAAAGACATTACAGTATATTTGAAATGTATTTTTAAAAAATAATTTTCATATATTTTGTAATAAAAATGCATTTCTATCTATATATATATATATATATATATATATTTTATTGAATATGGCCAAATTTGTAGCATATAAAATATATGTCAATATATTTGGGAAGGATATTTTTTAAAATATATTTCAAATATATTTTTCTTCCATGTAGGATAGTACAGTATAAAGCCAGCATTCAAGCTATATTACGCATAATAATCCATTTTCACGTAATCTCAATAGTCTCATTGTCCTTCTCTCCATACCTGGAACAAATTACAGATTCAGAATACTTTATTAATTCCAAAGGGAAATTATTTAATCTCACAGACCATTGTCTGGGGGTTCTTCTCATTCATACAGTACAAGAAAAACCCTCTAAAAACCATTAGTTCCAACAGTAAAGCCGATAACTGTAAATGTATTTTCAATCTAACATCCTTTAGTTCTGAGTGAGGAGTAGAGTGGTTAGCCAAGGTGAGGCAAAAGACACCCCCTTTTAAAAGTCCTTGAAACCATAGACAATGGAGATTGGAACTTCAGTTCTTGTGAACCAACTCCAATGGAATCTAAGGACCTGCTGTGCTCTTCCTCTTGTGGGATTGAGGAACAAGATAGATCAGGAATCAGCTGAGTTTCAATCCATGCATGGGCAGGCTGGTACCACTGAAGTCGATCTATCCATCAACTTCCGAACAATCAGCCTGTCGGGTTTTTTTTCGTTTGATCACTCTGTGGGAAGGATTCCCCCATCAACACTGAATGTGTTGATGGAGCAAGCAAGTAATTTTCTTTCCTTCAACCTGTGGTTGAAGGAAAGAAAATGGGTTAATGTATGACCTGCCTTAGACTCTTGCTTTGTTCATTTTGTGGGATGGAGGAACAAGATAGATGAAGACCCCTTAATCATGTTTTATCCATGCGGAACCAGATCCACTAGGGTGTGGAAAATGTCAAACAAATTCATGTCATTAAAAAACATTCAACCTGCCCGTAATAGGTGCCAAGTGTACAGGATCTTTTGTGATGGTTTAGAGCCAACAAACTTTGGACCTTTTATGGTATTCGAACAACCATTTTATGTGTGCTTAACATTAGGGGGCCTCGTGTTATTTTTGAGTCATATATACCATTTTGTCTTCTTTTTTCTTTCCATGAATCCAAATGATCCATAGAGCCCAAAGATGTTCACCTTGAAGAAATCCCTGTTACTCTTTTTCTTTCTTGGAACCATCACCTTATCTCTGCGAGGAAGAGTAAGTATGTAAAACTTTTTTTTAAATAAAAGTATTGACTTTTGAAGCTTAAATCTTGGCAAACAGCTAAACATATTGGTAAAATACATACTCTATATAAGTAATTTTTATGTCTGTTTATTCAGTCCTGGTATTTGCACAGCTCTGCCGAACAGCACAGGTCTCATCAATTGTCAATGATGTTGATAGTAATTGAGGGGATATCCCTTTTGGCTGGGACAGCAACAAAAAACCTAACAGAGTTTATAATCCTAGAAATACAGAAGGGTTGACAGACCAAAACCAGATAAAGTCCATCACAATTTTAATTGTTGGTAACTAGGTCGTATAAAAACAGACAACATGTTTCAGGGCAACACCACTCCCCCTTCATCAGGGATCAACAAAAGATAAACCTTGGATGGACACCAGTATTGGATGGATGAGAACATTGTTGCTCCATGATGCGCTTGCCAGAAGTGCATAGATTATACGCATTGATGAATCAGAGAGTAGTAAGGTATGCGTCTGGGACATCCGTCTCCAATTGGGCAGCTCCGCAGTAAGTGGGTGATGTCTTCTCCAGAGGTCTCCTTAGGGATCAGCGGGGTCAGCCACCTGATTACAGGAATTCCCCTCTCTGGATATTGAAGAACTTCCCAGGTTCTGCATACTTAAAGACTCCGTATAGGAGTCATAAAAAAATTTCTCATAGCGTAATATTGCCAGGAAATTTAATTTATTAATATAGCAAGTTTCACAATAAAAGGTAATAAAAAGGTACACTGACCAGTAATATGAATGGCCGCTGGACCAGTATGTAGCTCTGGTGGTTAAAAGTCACAGCGTGTTGACTCCTTAGGCCTTTTGTGCGACTGCATGTCTTCAGAGGAATGTATACGGAGCCTTTAAGTATGCAGAACCTGGGCAGTTCTTCAATATCCAGAGAGGGAGAATTCCTGTAATCAGGTGGCTGACCCTGCTGATCCCTAAGGAAACTTCTGGAGCAGACACCACCCACTTAATACGGAGCTGCCCAATTGGAGACGGATGTCCCAGACGCATACCTTACTACTCTAATTTATCAATGCGTATAATCTAGGCACTTCTGCCAAGCGCATCATTTTATCATTTGCATGGAGCACCACTTAATGAGGATACGCTTACTGGCACGAGTCACAATACCGATTGTATATTGAATTATATTGGGACTTTATTTTTCACTGATTTATTTAGTGCTGAACTTTATTATTATTTATTTTATACTGAAGGTTTTTATGTGGTTACCTGAGTGTATCAGCTGCTATCGGAGAGCGTTCACTATTGCTACTTTTTACTCTGTTACTATTTGCTGTTATCGCAATTTTATAGGGTCTCATTCCATCCCTTTTGTACTCCGCTGCTCTCCAGGTCAATATTTCAGTGCATTTGTTATGTCCTTCACTAACAGAATTGTACACCTTACTTTTTTGTATCAAGGAGCTTGTCTCTGACTCTGTCTTTGTTGTTGTGTTGCCTATAATAAAGTTCATTGTAAAAGAATAAGCTGAAGTTAGTAGCTGATTGGCTACCATGCACAACTTCACCAGATTCTGAGTGCTCCAGTTTTAGTAAATCTCCTCCACTGTGTCCACAAAATGCACATTTTTACTACCAGTGCAATACAGTTTTTTTTTTATATTATAATCAATGTTGTTTTATGTTATTATTATTATTACGTCCAAAAAAATACACATTTTTACTACCAGTGCAATACATTTTTTTTTACATTATAATCAATGTTGTTTTATGTAACTATAACTGTGTCTTCTTCCAGGAGAGGTGCCGATGAAGAGGAAGGGGACGTTGTAGATGAAGAAGTAAAAAGAGGTGTCTTGGACACACTCAAGAATTTTGGCATAAGTGCTCTCAAGGGTGCGGCCACGGGCTTGCTGAATTCAGTGTCTTGTAAAGTTTCTGGAACCTGTTAAGCCATGAAGTGGAAGCCATTTGATGTGGAATATCATTTAGCTAAATGCTAAATGTCTAATAAAAAAAACTAGCAATGCCATATATGCTGTGTCATGCTGTGTTTCCTTCTTCTTTGTCGCTCTTTTTACATAGTTAGTCTGGCTGAAAAAAGACAAAGGTCCATCCAGTTCAACCATAAGCTTTTATCTTCTATGATGAACCTTTTTTTTTTTTAGTTGGGGGTAAAATATTGTCCTTAGCCCACTTTCCAGGGAATGCAGGGGCGGACTGACCATTCTGGAACTCGGGCACTGCCTGAGGGCCTGAGGTCAGTAGGGGGCCCATGAGATTCCCCTGGTACCTTCCATAGGCTTTTTTGGGTGTGGTTTGAGTGTAGGCGAGGACACAGGGGCCCCATGATCCCCTAGCGCCCGGGGGCCCCATGAGTTGTCAGTGCGCCCCTGAGGGAATGTAATCGCTTAGCAGCCCCACTGATCTGATTGATCTTCCACTTTATCCAATTAAGATGGAAGCATACAGAGTATATCAGCCAACGCTTACTCCCGGGCCAGGCTTGCAACAGTGCAGTTCAGCCTAAAAATGTATTTTGTTGTATATTTGTTAATTACACAGGCAGGGGCGGACTGACCATTTGGAAACTCGGGCACTTCCCAAGGGCCCGGGGTCAGTAGGGGGCCCCATGAAATGCCCCTGGTACCTTTTTCATAGGCTTTTTTGAGTTTGGGCAAGGACACAGGGGCCCCATGATCCCCTATTGCCCGGGGGCCCCATGAGTTGTCAGTCCACCCACCGGTCTGAACTTTGGCTGTTTAGGGTTTGGACTTTGCCCCCCCCCCCCCACCCCCATTTGATGGTATTCCTACCATGGTATTTCAGCCTACCATGAACCATCAACAAAATAGAAAACCCCCAAATTCTCCTAATGTTGACATGGTTGAGGACACCATGCAGGTGTTTGTTATTTGCTGCTTGTACCTGTAGTAGGGCCCAGAAACAATAGAGCACATTTTGCTTTTCATATCCTACATAAACACATTGACACTAAATACAAAACCTTTCTTTCCACCCAATACACACTGATAGTAATAGTCCACTGCTCTGACTGTAAAGAACCCCCTATGCAATTTAGGATGAAATATGTTTTTGGCCATGTGTCTTCTTCAGAGACCTTAACCACTTCCCGTCCGCCCATGTATATAAATGGCTGGATGGTAGCAGTGCAGGGGAGGGCTGCTGTTCATAAATGGTCCCCTCCATTTTGGCCTGTGCACGCTCCCTGGGAGCGCTTGGCACCGCGATCCAGTGCCTGCTGTGTCCGGAGGAACAATGATCGCTGTACGAGACCTCTGTGTGAGGTCCTGATTCATGTGATCACTGATTGGCCAATCAATGATCACATGAATAGTAGTAAGCAAGATGTCACTTCTGACATCATTGCTTACTACTTGAAAAATCTGTGAATGATCACAGAGGTCACATGTGTAGCAGGAGAGATTAATCCTGTCTCATGGCTGTGATCTGCTGACTGGCCTCTTCTGTGTAACCTGACACTTGCCCTGAAACAGACAAAGCAGTGAGGGATTTCAGCCCCCCCCTTCTCCTCTCAGACTGTAAGAGAGTGAGAGAGCCAATTATAAAAAGCCATTAAAGGAGCCAATGACAAGGACTCTGTCAAACAGGAAGTGCAGGTGCAAATCATTGTGGACGATGGAGTCTTGAACAGAAACGGCCTTATAGGCTAATATGGAGATAGAATTAAAAAAGAACTACGAAAGCCATCATGCTTAGGGAGAGCAGAGGAAGGGATCCATCTGGGGGTTTCTCCTGAGGAGGGGGAGATTGCATGTGGCAGGAGAAAGAGATTGGACCTGGCAAAGAAGTGCTGATGGGCAGTGCACTGCATGCTTGGTGATCTGGATCAGACAAAGGAACATCCAAACTGAGAGAAGTGGTCTACAGTACAGTCCCTACACTGACAGTGTGAAGTGCTCATGGTGAGGTGACCAGAGGAGCCTGTCATTTCCAGGACGATCGTTTGGGCCTTAGTCACAGGATCTGGTGAGAGGGATTTCTCCCACTGTCAGATGACAGGAACATTGCACACATACTGCCACAGGATTACAATTATACTTTAAGTGTTTAAGGAGTTTAAGTGCACCAACGAAAGTGGCTAGCTGAAGATCCCAAGATTCATCCTGTTACAAAGAGACTGAAGTCACTGGTGCCATACGTGTACGTGCACGCGCATGCGTAGTCAGGCCTCTATATTGCATGGTGTGTGAGGGAATAGCTTTACCTTGGAAAGTAGCTATTAAGCATCATTTGGGTACAGTGTTTTCCTATTGGGCTTGTGGTGTCGGGGGTTAGAAGGGAGAAGTCTGACACAACAGAGAGTCATTCTTCTACTCTCCTCCTGCTTGGACATCATAGAGCCAAATTTATGTAAAGGTGTTTAGACCCACTTTGAGGTTGCCATTTAAGTGTTTGCCTCTGCTCTTGGGGTTATTCATGGTTGGAATCCCCTGAAAGCAGCCTGAGTGTAAAAGTGAGTTATATTGCTTTCGGTCACAGTATTTGCTGTTCTCTTGATTCTCCCAACATATACCTGTTGTTAATGTTTATTACTTCCCATAGAGGTCTACAGTAAAGCTGATCTCTGCGTTTTATTATAACATGTGTGCTTTTCATTAATCCTTGCACTTACACTATTGCCAGGTGTGCCAGTTGGGGCTGAGACAGTTCTTGGGGTTGAGAGGCAGAGTGGCGGAGTGAACAAACTTAAGCAGCCCCTACGGGGGTATCGCTACACATGGTACAGGGCTATTCACAACCTTGTACCATGTGACAAGCTGTGGCCAATCACAGCTCGCACAGTATTTCTCAATGGCTGCAAGAATGAGAAATGATTGCTTTTACAGCCTTTATGGGTGTAAAAAAAAAAAAAAAATTATTCATCACCCCCCACAAGTAGTACAGTGTCACTATAGTGACACTGTACTGCTAGGGTGACAGTATGTAAAAAAAAACCATAAATAATAATATAAAAAAAATAAAATAAAAATGTAAACATTTTTTTAAAAAATTATAATTTTTGGTTATAAACTAATTTGGGTTTTTTTTTTTACTAAAAAGATAACTGAATACATTTTGGCCAAGATTTATGAAGATAGATGAAAAAAAAAACTTTTTGAGATTTCATAGCAAAAAAAATTAAAATCCCAGTGGTGAATAAATACCACCAAAATAAAGTTTTATCTGTTGCAAAAAAATGCTAAAAAATTAATACGGGTACAATGCTGTATGACTGCGCAATTGTCATTCAAAGTGTGACAATGCTGAAAGCTGAAAGTTGGCCTGGGTAGAAAAGGGGGTAAAAGTGTCCAGACTTGAAGTGGTTAAATCAAATAATGTACTGTGTTGCCAATTGTAGTCACCATAATACAATTACTAGTAGTAAGTAGTACAAATACTAGTAATGGCGGCAAGCAGAGCGACTTATAGTGGGAGCGCAATATTGCGGCGGACAATCTGACACTAACTGACACTTTGTGGGAACCAATGACACTGATACAGCTGCTAGACCCTATGTATAATAAAGAAAGTAGGAGATTGCTGCACTCGCTGGTCAAGCGTACACTCACTTGAATTAAATAATGAAACCAAAAATTGTGACGTGCTAACTCCTCAAATGTGAAACATAAACCTTAAAAAGACACGCTATCAGTCCACAAAAAATTCAAATGTGAAGTTGTAACAGTCCAATCCAACCTATATATAAGTCCTAATGTTGTGCTGTCATCCAAAAAATTTCAAAAACGTGCTTGAATTGTAGCCCCACTCCCTGTTCATCTTGAAGTTTGACCTACAAATTATAATAGACCAAATGCAGGGCTATGTAGCCTCCAAATCTCTAATCCATGTGATATTCCTTCCGCATGTTATATCTTCATTGGACCTTTAGCTCCAAAACCGTGCATGAAAAAGCAAAAAACATATAGCGTAGTGCAATGCCATTTTTGAAAAAAAAAAAGATTTATTATTGTGACGGAGGGAAGGCAAAACAGAACACACAAGGCAGATGGCAAACACTTAAAGCTTTATTAAAACAGACAACAGTCACTTACTGGGGAGTAGTGCAGAGAGAGAGCCCAAAGATAACACAGGAGAACATTAATACAAAAGTAAGCCACTAATTAGGGATGTAGGACATCTGGGCACAAGACAGGATGGACACAATAATTGGATTTGTAGCTGGAAACATTAATTAATTAATAACTGGGCTGGCAGAGAAGTTGTGACATTTCGGATCATTAATCAGGAATTATTAATTGGTCGGGCCCCTATACCGTGACAATTATACGCTCTCATAGTTACATAGTTAGTCTGGCTGAAAAAAGACAAACGTCCATCCAGTTCAACCATAGGAAAAATTTTTTTAAAAAACACATTGAAAAAAAAAAATGAAATGTGCTCCAAGATGCAATAATTAAAAATTCACATTTCTCCACCATAGTGTTTCACCGAATAAGTGTACCATACACTCACCTTCTCCCTTGACCATGTGATCAGTAGCGCAACATGTTGGGCGGAGCCTAGTGACATCACTTCCAATGGTGAGGAACCATTTTGGTTGATGGCTATGTACTGTACATGCTTGCTATTTATTATCTTTGTAAGTTCAACTTTTACTTGAATAAAGCGGTTTATTTTTTATGGAGTTGCAGTATGATTTGTCTTTTTCATTCTGATCACACACCGCTCCACTTGAGAATCCTGGAGTCCGTTCCCTTACAGGGCCAGAGTCAAGGAAATAGCCACTAAGGGCAGCAGTGGACCAGTAGAAATCGATCATTATCCCTAAGTGTTTGTGACCAACTTTATAGGTCAAGGGAGGAGGTGAGTGTATGGTACACTTATTCGGTGATGGGAAACACTATAAACTGTCTAAATAGCAGATCAGGAGATATTTGGAATGTTTATTGAGTGCTGATAAACTATATTGCCAAAGGTATTGGCCCCGCCCTCCAAATCATGTGATTCAGGTGTTTCAATCCCCTCCATGGCCACAGGTGTATACAATCAAGCCCCTAGGCATGCAGACTGCTTCTACAAACATTTGTGAAAGAATGGGTCACTCTCAGGAGCTCAGTGACTCCAAGCGTGGTCCTGTGATAGGTTGTCACCTGTGCAATAAGTCCATCCGTGACATTTTCTGGCTACTAAATATTCCACGGTCAACTGTTTGTGGGATTATAAACAAAGTGGAAGCAACTGGGAACAACAACAATTCAGCCACCAAGTGGTAGGCCACGTCACATGACAGAGCGGGGTCAGCGCATGCTGAAGTGCACAGTGCTGCACAAGTCTCCAACTGTCTGCAGAGTCAATAGCTAAAGATCTCCAATCTTGGTGTGGCCTTCAGATTAGCACAACAACAGTGCGTAGAGAGCTTCATGGAATGGGTTTCCATGGCCGAGCAGCTGCATCCAAGCCTTACATCATCAAGTGCAATGGAAAGCGTCGGATGCAGTGGTGTAAAGCACGTCGCCACTGGACTCTAGAGCAGAGGAGACGTGTTCTCTGTGACCAATCACATTTTTCTCCGATGGACGTGTCTGGGTTTGGTGTTTGCCAGGAGAACGGTACTTGCCTGACCGTATTTTGCCAAGGGTAAAGTTTGGTGGAGGGGGGATTATGGTGGGGGTTTGTTTTTTAGGGGTTGGGCTTGGCCCCCTTGTTCCAGTGAAGGGAACTCTTAAGACATCAGCATACCAAGACATTTTGGACAATTTCATGCTCCCAACTTTGTAGGAAGAGTTTGGGGATGGCCCGTTCCTGTTCCAACATGACGACTGCGTACCAGTGCACAAAGCAGGTCCATAAACACATGGAGGAGCAAGTTTGGGGTGGAGGAACTTGACTGGCCTACACAGAGTCCTGACCTCAACCTCATAGAACACCTTTGGGATGAATTAGAGCGTAGATTGAGAGCCAGGCCTCCTCCCCCGACATCAGTGTCTGACCTCACAAATGCGCTTCTGGAATAATGGTCAAACCTTCCCATAAACTGCCTTACTCAAACTCTCCAACGACCTGCTAACCGCCAAAGCTAATGGCCACTATTCAGTGCTCCTACTCCTTGACCTCTCTGCGGCCTTCGACACAGTCGACCACCCCCTCCTCCTCAAAAAACTACACTCCCTCGGCCTCAGAGATTCTGCTCTCTCCTGGCTCTCATCCTACCTGTCACAACGCTCCTTCAGCGTTACCTATAATGCTACCACCTCCCCCTCACTCCCCCTCTCTGTCGGGGTCCCTCAAGGCTCTGTCCTCGGGCCCCTTCTCTTCTCCATCTATACCTCCTCCCTTGGCCAACTCATACACTCTCACGGCTTCAACTACCACCCTCTATGCCGACGACACACAAATCTATCTCTCAACCCCCCACCTCACCCCCTTGGTCTCAGCCCGAATCACACACCTACTGAGCGACATATCAGACTGGATGTCGCTCCACTTCCTTAAATTGAACCTCTCCAAAACCGAGTTTCTTGTCTTCCCTCCACCCCGGACACCACCCCCCATTGATTTCTCCGTCACATCCAACAACACCACCATCAAACCCCGCCCTGCAGGCCAGAGTACTGGGTGTCATTCTGGACTCCAACCTATCCTTCCAGCCCCAAGTCCAATCTTTAACAAACTCGTGCAGACTCCACCTCCGCAACATTGCCAAAATCTGCACGTTCCTAACCCCAGAAACCACTAAACAATCATCCACTCCCTCATCATATCACGACTCGACTACTGCAACTCTCTCATCACTGGCCTGCCTCGCCGCTGGCTATACCCGCTTCAGTCGATCCTGAATACGGCTGCCAGACTCATTCACCTTTCCAACCGCTCTGTCTCGCCACCCCCCCTCTGCCAATCCCTCCACTGGCTTCCGATTGCGCAACAGATCAAATTCAAAATCCTAACGCTGACGTACAAAGCTGTCCACCATACTGCCCCGTACTACATCTCTGACCTAATATCCAAGTACCGCCCAGCACGCACACTCCGCTCCTCACAAGACCTCCTTCTCTCTAGTTCCCTGGTTCCTCCCATGCCCGCCTCCAGGACTTCTCCAGGGTGTCACCCATCCTCTGGAACTCCCTGCCCCAACCCATCAGATTATCACCTACTCTCCTTTCCTTTAGGCGCACCCTGAAAACCCATCTCTTCAGGGAAGCCTACCCCACCCCCTGCTAACTTGCCGACCTCCTCCACTCTTCCTACCACTCCATCCCCCACAGCTATCTCCTCCTGTGCCGCCACCCCCTCTCTCCTAGATTGTAAGCTCGAAAGAGCAGGGCCCTTGATCCCCTCATGTTTTGCATTGTATTGGTATTGTTCTGTCACATGTTCTGTCCCCTTTGTAATGTACAGCGCTGAGCGAACTATTGGCGCTTTATAAATACTGTATAATAATAATAATAATAATAATAGACACCCTCCTAAACCTTGTGGACGGCCTTCCCAGAAGAGTTGAAGCTGTTATACAGTTGCAAGAAAAAGTATGTGAACCCTTTGGGATTACGTGGAGTTTTGCATGAATTGGACATAAAATGTGCTCTGAACGTCATCTAAGTCACAACAATAGAAGAACACAGTCTGCCATAATACTACACAAAACATTAGATGTTGCCATGGTTTAATTGCACATAACATGTAAACATTCACAGTGCAGGGAGGAAAAAGTATGTGAGGCCCCACTAGCTTAATGACTTCTCCCAGAGCTAATTGGAGCCAGGAGTGAGCCAACCTTGCCTCCAATCAGTGTGATGATATTGGATGTGTTGCTGACAGCTGTCCTGCCCTTAAAAAACACACACACCTGTTTTGGGTTTGCTGGT